CCCCCACCCTTCAGTTCATCCAGTCCCCACCATCTCGAAGGCTGCTTAACGGGTCTTGTAAGGCGATTACTCCAGGCAAAGCCGTTCAATCGCCGGGATTCGAGCTATCCGCTCCCCCAAGAAAAGATTTCCAAGCGTAATTTAGGAAAATAAACTGAGGGGCCTTAGCTAAATATGGGCACCTGGGCGGCGCCTCCGCATTCAAAGGAAATACACCTATATTGGCCCCCCTGTGGGTACAAGTGAAGGGGATCGCAGTTTATTTCTTTACTTGAGCCTACAGCTTCCCTAAAACACCCCTAAGCACTAGCAGAAAGTGTAGAATTCTTGAGGTCGCAGAAGGAGGGCGGCAAGTGGAGGGTGGGGGGCTTTTTCCCAAGAACAAGACTAAAACTACCATCCCCAGCTCCAGCACTCAATTCTGCCCCCAGCCAACTGGCCCTTACTTTCAGTGTGTGAAAGAAATTGTTGGCAAATTACCACTATTTCTATGTTTGCAATTCTTTGAAAGACTGGCCTCTGAAGCTGCTGGCAAACCTCTTGTTTGACACATATTTAACACAGTGGGCAAAATCTGGTAAAATTTTAGAGCTGCTTCCCTCAAGCTTTTCCAGACCTTACTTCAAATCCTCCCCACTTACCACCCAGAAACAAGTGTTTCTGCGTTTCTTTCAAGAGTGGTTTTACTTTACTCAAAGGCAACGTCTGCAAGAGCCTGCAAAGCCACTGCATCCAGAATTGCTCTTGATTCTCCCAGCCAGGCTGGAATTCAGACTCCATTAATGATTTGCAATAAAAGTTTGCTGTTATTAAGCGAAATGTGGAAGGCTGGGATTTATTCAACAATTTCAATGGCTGCAACCCATCTCCTATAAATGTAAGGCTCCTGTTGACCACTGTACTTATAAGACTCCCCCTCGAATTGCTTCAGGGGTTTCCCATAGATGACCAATCTTAGTCCTCTTCCGTGGACAAGAAGGCAGAGAGACCAGAGGAAGTGCTTCTGTGCTGTGCCCTTGCCACTGCTTCTCTGCGCTGCGCATTCACGCTCCTCCCAGGCCCTCTCCTTTCTGCCACAGGATTTAAACTCCACAACCCCACATGCAAAACGCTTTTTCTCTTTCTCATCTCCGGGCATCTTCTTACTCCCAGATTTTCCCCGGTGAGTCGTTTCCTATCTATGGACTGGAACAAAGTCAGAATGAGACCTGACATATGGCATGCTTTCCACCATGGAGGAATGATTGAAGGGGGCAAGGTTATGATCCCCACATCCAGATGTCAAAGGCCTGGACTAGCATTTCCCTTCCACCTACTAAGTGCACCCTTGAAAAAACACCATAACCCGATAATTTTATTACAGAGAAGCGCCTGACTTCATATTTGACTTCTTAGCGCGGCTGTTTCTTATTTGTCCTCTTTGTTCCCTCAAGGATGCAGAGTGGGAAGCAATTTCCATCACTTTCTATTTCTGTGTCCGTGCTAAGGTCTCTGGCTTCTCCCGCTTGAGTCCTTCCAAAACATCCCGACAGTAACTCTGCTCTGTTTTCTAGAGTAATTTGATCTCAGAGAGCCTTCAGCAACCAAGTGCACAAGTTGTAGGCCTGGCCTGTGTCCTCACCCATTACTTATTTCTGAAAATAAATGGCTTATAAGTGGAATCAACTTGTCAGGAAGAGTGACCTATTCTCCCCTCATCTCCTTCCAGACCCTTAAAGCTGCTGTCACTTCCACCCACAGCTCAGAAACCTGACCACTGGGTAGCGATGTTGCATGGACCTATGCCCCTAAAAGATCACAAGCACTTATGTAAGAAATTAAAGTGGCCAAGCTTTGGTGATGTTTTTAATGGAAGTCCCCAAGTGTCCTATCTAGGGAGGAAAACCAGAGTTCATCTTTCAGCAAAAGGATGCCTGTTCATTTTGATATGTAGGACCATAAACTTCACTTAGTTTCTAGCCTACCCCCTCAATAATTGAATGATACAAACATCAAGCCAACACAATCAGCCACTTTTCCAAAAACCAAAAGCAATGGTCTACTCTGTATTTGGCCCTGCACTGATTTCATTCCTCACGCTGTAGTACTGAGGCCCCTGCCAACCTTAACAATTGCTGGAATGTGGTTTTTGTGGACTGCTGGAAAGTGCCCTGTCTACAAATATTAACACTAATGTTTTAATCACATCACTAAACATTCTTTCTCTGGGACCTTCTAAATAGATCTCCTATTTAAAAAAGCTGGCTAGCACAAGTATTTAGGAACACAGACTCTTGGGTGGGTCACATCTCTGTCAATGACTAAATATGTGGCCTTAGACAAGTTCCTTAACCCAGGCTTCGATTTAATCATTGCAATTGGGGAAACCAATATTAAGAAAAACACATGAGGTTCTGATTGTATTAGCTAATGTACATAAAGCAATTTGTATAAGGACTAACAAGTACAGTGTTATTATTATATGCAGCAACTTATTATCACCAGGTAACTCCTTGACTGGCAGGTTATATTCTATACAGCATGACCCTTTAGCATCAAATATAAACAAGCATCTGTAATTCTTAAAGGAAATCAATGGGGAGGAGGAAAATGAGTGTGCACTAGAGTTAAGCTTCCCAATGATTCCTTCCCCAATTATTTTATTAATTCATTTGTCCTTGTTTTGAAAACAGAAACCAACCCCTTCCTACATCACCAATGAAAAGAGACTTCTGTCATCAAAATTCTTTTTTTT